TATTTTTCAGATGATAGTATGCTGATTTAGTTATTGATTTGACATGACTACTGAAACTAAGGTCTGACTCTAGAGACACACCAAGATTCCTGACTTGATTTTTAGTTGTTAGACCCCTAGCGTCAAGGTATGCATTCACCTTGAGAACTTCATCTTTGTTTCCAAACGCAATGACTTCAGTTTTGTCTTTGTTTAACTGAAGAAAGTTTTGGCACATCCAACTGTTTACTTCATCAATGCATTGGCACAGGGAGTCAATGGGGCTGTAATCGTTAGGCGATAGGGATAAGTAGAGCTGTGTGTCGTCTGCATAGCTGTGGTAAGAGATTTTGTTCTTTCTCATTATTTGGCTCATTGGGAGCATATACAGGTTGAACAGGAGTGGTGCAAGAATTGAGCCTTGAGGGACTCCACATGTCATGGACGTCCACTCAGACTTATGGTCTCCTATACTCACATAATAACCTCTCCCTTCTAAGTATGACCTGAACCATTTTAGGACTATCCCAGAAAGCCCCACCCAGTTTTCCAGCCTGTCAAGAAGTATGTCGTGATCGACAGTGTCAAATGCAGCACTGAGGTCGAGTAGTACCAGCACTGATAATTTCCCTGTATCAGTATTTAAGCGAATATCATTTATTATCTTTATGAGCGCTGGCTCTGTGCTGTGATGCGATCTGAAACCAGATTGAAAATTGTCAAAGTATCCATTCAAGCTTAAGAATTTGTTCACCTGATTGAAGACAACTTTTTCAATGATCTTCCCTATGAAAGGAAGATTTGAGATCGGTCTATAGTTGCTTAATATGGTCTTATCCAGATTGATCTTTTTCAGGAGGGGCTTGACAACTGCAGTTTTCAGGGAGTTTGGAAAATTCCCAGAGAGAAGTGAGGCATTTACCATTTCTAGGAGATCTGCTTCTAAGCTGTTTAACACACTTTTGAAGAAAGATGTGGGAAGTGCGTCAAGGGCGCAGGTTGATGTTTTAAGGTGCTGTACGGTTTCTTCTAAAATTTTGCCATCAATTTCTTCAAAATCAGACATAGTAGCTACTTTCTGCGGATTGTGGTCTGATCTGTCTGACCCCAGTGCGGCTCAATGATGTGCTGATCACCTTTCTGATATTATTGATTTTCTCAGAGAAGAAAAAAGCAAACTCCCTGCACTTGCTGTCTGAGAGCATTTCACTGGGAATCTGGCTTGGGGGGTTTGTCAGTCTCTCTACAGTAGCAAAAAGAGTGTGTGTGTTGTTTAAGTTGCTGTTTATAATATTTGAGAAGAAAGTCTGTCTAGCTTTGCCTAGTTCCATATTAAAAGCATGGATGGTGTCTTTGTAGATGTTATAATGGACTACAAGTTTTGTCTTCCGCCACATGCGCTCTGTTTTTCTGCATTGTCTTTTCATATTTTGCACAGCTGTTGAGTTTCTCCAAGGTGCTTTTTGTCTACCACTCTTCCTGACTCTCACAGGAGCAATATCATCAATTACACTTTTAACTTTTGAGTTAAAACAATCAAGGAGAAAATCAACAGAGTCAGCAGATATGCTTGGTGTTGAAGAAATAGCCTTCATAAATAGTACACTAGTGTTCTCATTTATGCATCTCTTCTTGACAGACACAGATCTAGCTTCAATGGCAGGAGAGATCAATATATCAAAGAAAATACAGAAATGATCAGACAGTGCTACATCCTTAATAACAATCGATGAAATGTTTAGACCCTTACTGATAAGTAAATCTAGAGTGTGTCTACGAGTGTGTGTCGGTCCGTGTACATGCTGAATCAGGTCAAAAGTTTTTAAAACAGTTTTGATTTCTTTTGCCATATTTGTATCATTATCTATGTGAATGTTAAAATCTCCAGCAATAGCAAAACAGTCGAACTCTGAGGAAATTGTTGATAACAGTTCTGTAAAGTCCTCAGCAAAGGCTGGAGAGTATTTTGGAGGCCTGTAAATAATGATAAGTAAAATGCGTGGGGCACCTTTTAAAACAATACCGAGATATTCAAAAGACGGGTAGTTACCAAAAGATGTTTGCTTACATTGATAGACATCCTTAAAAAGAGTAGATAGCCATCTGATTGCCAAAGCCTTACCACGCAATGCCCCCCCACAAATTAGCCCTGTTATTTAGTGGCGCTTTGCCGTATATTCCATGCATTATCATGGAATCATTATCATTAATATTAAAGTGACCGTTCGCAAAGCCCCGCCTTTTTTAGTTACTGTGTGACAAGCCAGGCGTCTCTCACGAGTCACGCACATGATCATGTTCTCACTCACGCAGTGAAAAATACATCGCGGGGCAAAGACTAACGTTACACCGAGTGACTACGAGAGAGAGTTCAGAGCAGCTTACTGTTGATATGAAACAAAGTCTCAACTTTCAAATATTGTCATTTAACTAATAAACAATACCGTTTTCAAGTTCAAGTCCACCGACGTTAATCTACTGCGTTATGATTGGCCAGTTCGCCTGTCAATCAAACCCCCGTGGGCAGCAGGGCATGGTGAATTGAAACATCACGTTTTAATTTGATATACATTTATTCTTATTTAACTTGTGAACGATCTAACTGCTGCTGCACGTAGGCCTATCAGATGGCTGCCTGCGCCTTATTAGAATATACGCATCAACCAATCAATCGCCTCCACTCTTCACTTCATTCTAGACTATTCTTAAAACACATGCGTCATCATCGACCCCACAAATTTTCGGTAAGTTTGATTATTAACTTGATGGATGTATGATATTGCTTTTTGTGTTTGATCAAACTCTATTTTCGCCTAAATGGCCTAAAATATGTACATTTTCCTGCGCCATTATGATGTAAGTTTATAATTTAAACGCGTTTTTAAGCATTGTGGTTTGGATACAAATTATTTTAAACTGCTCAGGCACAGTAAGCAGCGGGAGAGAATTCATTTTGGTTTTGAGACCATGGTGAACTTGAGACGGTTCTGCACAGCGCACTTGAGTTCCGACCCTGAGGTCTTAAAGTGACAGAAGCTGCTAATAAAGCTGCTGTCGCCATTTGTGTCAATGATGTTAATCAAACATCAGAAATAAAGTAATTTACTGCCCTTGACTGAATCACTTTTGTAAAATTAATAAGAATGAATGTTGAATTTATAGTGAAAACTATGTATTGTTTATTTGATTACTTTATACAATATATTATTCAGTGCTTTAAGTTTTTCAAGTAGGTCGATTTCTTATGTGCCTTTGTTCTATTGTTATTTGTGACTCTTGTCATCGGTAAGCTTGAGATTCTTTTCTTAAGCTACTATTATTTTTTGTGATATTGAAATTGGTCACAAGAATTATGAAATTGTAGTGCCATAAAATTTTGATATGATAAAAAATCGTATTAAAAGTAATATAACTTAACTGTGAAGTATATCATAGATGAATAAAATGACTCGTATAATGATAGAACATTTAGCTCATGTAGTTGGTGACCTAAAGTGGTGGTGGGGGGGCCCTGCAGTAACTCATAGCCCCGGGGCCCAGTGAGCTCTTAATGCGGCCCTGATTAATACACTGGTTGCAACAACTAACTGATACAACTTTTAACAAAATTCAACAAATGACCGCATACACAAACACATGGATCACAATGAGAAGGAAGGACAGAGATACTGATTAAAATATTACATTTTAGGGACATTAAAAACTTTAAACAATGCAACTAATGTCATGTTTATCAGAGCAGTATCAAGGAGTGTGAAAGAGGGTTAAAAACAAGGTAAGAAGCTTTTATGTGTTTTATACTGTTTATCAACTTTTTTTGAACGATGTTGCCATTTTATTATGCAAATAAACTTGCTTTTTTTTATAGCTTTTAATTTAAATATTGTTTGAAGCACAAAATTGTCAGGATATAGAAGTGCGAGAAAATCTTTTACAATAAAAAAGCTGGTTTTTATTTGATTAATCAAAGGTAAAAGTGACAAAACAATCAATTGTCAAGATAAACACTAGTTGCAGCGCGAATGACTCCAGGTTGTGAATCGCTCAGTTTCACTGGTGTGTGATTCCTCATCAATTCCTAACGAACACTAAAGAGCCGTTTAAACTCAACAAACACAAGCTTTAAGAGTGATGAAGTAAAATCTTATTCATGCAATACCAGGGAAAATTAAGCAAAAAAATAAGCTATTAAACAAAAATAAGCTAAAGAACTTGAAGACAGAGCGCGTTTCGTAATCCGGACATGATTTGGACCCATCGGCTCGCCGTAGCTGCCAGGTTGCAGTATGTTGTTAAAGTTCAGCCGATCGCAGCATTGGAAATAATATTCATTCTTATTCGTCTACGGTACTGGTCGCACTGTTTTACATTTTACTTCACAGCAAACGCTTTAACACATGCAGTGTGTTCCGATTCAGGCACTTTATGATCTAACGGAAACTATGAATCTATAGCATGCTAACAGCTAGCCTATCAATAACACTTATTTCACATATGCAAACTAAAATAATATCGAAATATAACCTAACATACTCATATTTTAAGCGTTTAACAGCGTTCATCTTGCGTTTATAATGTTGTGTCCTGTGTTTAACGTTAGATGTTCAGTGACATTTCATGTGTTTTATTGTCTAATCTTCATTTCGCAGTCTTTTTGACGAAGGGTTTAGTTAAAGTCGAGTTTAGTTTGTGAAATAAGCAATGCCGCATATAATCATACTTTACCAGCTCAGTATTGAAAATGGGAGTATATAAGTTGTATCAAAATATAAAGTTAATGAGATATAAGAAACGACTGTTAATAAAAGTGTAAATATAATACATCAGAGAATGTTATCTCTGTAATTTCACAGAAGCTGTTTAAATGCGATGCAGGAAGTGAATTCATTATTCATTTCTTGCTGTCGATGTGAAGGAGTTTTCAGAAACAATGTATTTGTGTGTGTTTGCAGTGACACCATCAGTAACATTACTGACCTCAGTTCATAATGTTGGTCTGTGTGTTTCTGTAGTGAAGCATCATGGGAAACACCAGCGAGCGTGTGTCTGAGCGGCACGGGGCGAAGGCTCAGCGCTCAGACAGCGGAGGACATAAAGACCTGGAGCCCGGGAAAATGATGGACAGCACCGACGACCCCAATATTTTCAACACACACGGGCCAGAATCTAAAGTATGCCAGAACACACAGTGACAGCAAGTCATTTTATAAACACACAGAACTCCTGCTTGAAGCTTAAAGAGGCGATATGCGTTTTTCTGAAATTTAAACTCGCGACTGACATCTGTGGCCAAAAAACAGAACTGCTCTTCCTTTCTGCTCACTCTCGCAGCGCGCGCTCGTACGTGCACACTTCACTAACAGCAAGTGAACTGAAAACAACACAGTGCTATTTCAATGAACAGTTTTATCACGTATTACCTTTTCAGAAGAAAAAAAGCCATTTCTGGGTCACTTTGTATTCCCAACACAGATCTGAGCTCCCTCCAAGGCTCAAATGCGAAGCCGATGTTCACTCTAGTCCTTGCTCGGCGCCGGTCGCTCTCAATCTTTGATCTTTTTCGGCCACTTGTCAGGGGTTTAACTTTTTTAGTCTTCTGTGGAGTTACTGTGGGTGTCCGAGTTGTCCTGGGTCTCTTCTGTGTATTCACAAAATCCATTGCACTGCTTGCGAGTGTAGGCTACTTGCTGACTAGCGGTGGTGGCAGAGTGATCTGAAACGTTTAACATGAACGCGCTTGACGTCACATCCGCAGACAGCACGGGAAAAATCCGACCCGACAGAAAATAGGAAAAATAGGATACAGGCTTATAGGTGCACCCACTGTGAGCGGACAAGGTGTCAGTATGCTCATCAGGAGATGTTTAAGTCATAAATGGTAAAATAAAAAGGCTATTGTTACGTTTATTTTGGGGAAAAAGCTGCATATAGTCCCTTTAAAGGGCTCATGTACATGTGATCAGTGTGCCTGAACTTTATTAGTGCTCAGCTAAACAGAGCAGAGCGTTAAATATAAAGAGTAAACAGATGTTCTTGCATGAATGCCCTGGTGTGTGTCAGAGCACTGAATCATACGTGTTCTCCAGGCCGCGGGCGAGAAGGACTTCGCCCCAGATTTAGAGGATATGGTGAAGACGTGTTCTCAGGCTCGACCCACCGTGATCCGCTGGGCTGGAGGAGGGAGAGAGGTTTACATCACCGGCTCCTTCAACAACTGGAGCTGCAAGATCCCGCTCAATAAGAGGTGTGCGCAAACCGCCTGGTGAACAGAAGCTCGCTCATGGTTATTTCATGAATCTTTCAACCTTTTTTCTCTGTGTTTTTGAAGCCATAATGATTTTGTAGCCATCTTGGACCTGCCTGAGGGCGAACATCAGTACAAGTTCTTCGTTGATGGCCAGTGGCTTCATGACCCGTCTGAGGTGATTATATCTGCATTTAACCCGCCGTCACACGACTTATGAACATAGCTTCTGTCTTAGTTAGGGACACCTCATATTCAGCGATATTATTGATCTCCTGCATTGACAGCATTATATGAAAACTGAACTGAGCTGGACGATGACATCACGGTTTTCTCCAGAGCGGCTATATATATATATATAAATGAACTAAATTAATAACTTTTTTACAACAAAATGAACCATCACTGAACTAACTTAAAGGAGAACTCCGGCGCAAAATGAACCTTTGGTCTAATTACACATTGTTACCTAGTCAACCGTTATCTGAGATTTGTTTTCATGATTATCGAATGTAAATAGTTTTATCTCTAAAAATAGTTTAGCCTATAAAGCTAGTATAACGCTAGTATATTGGGCATAGTGTAATGACAAATAAAAATCGCTTGTTAATACCACTAACAAGGCTCAAAATAGCCCCACACTAACACGGTAGCATAATGAGGGTCCCTACCTTCAAACCGAAGCATTGAGAACTTTGTCAGTGTCCAGACAGTTTAATAAGAAGATATTTTAAACATACAGTCAACTTCGCGTATACAGGCGGAAGCCATCTTTGAAAAACAGCCTTTACCAGTCGATCTACGAACGCCGATCCAAGTGCGCTGGTGAGATGTGAACGAGCTATAAGTTGTGATAAGGTGAGCGCGAACAGCAGACTTGGATCGGCGTTCGTAGATCGACTGGTAAAGGCTGTTTTTCAAAGATGGCTTCTGCCTGTATACGCGAAGTTGACTGTATGTTTAAAATATCTTCTTATTAAACTGTCTGGACACTGACAAAGTTCTCAATGCTTCGGTTTGAAGGTAGGGACCCTCATTATGCTACCGTGTTAGTGTGGGGCTATTTTGAGCCTTGTTAGTGGTATTAACAAGCGATTTTTATTTGTCATTACACTATGCCCAATATACTAGCGTTATACTAGCTTTATAGGCTAAACTATTTTTAGAGATAAAACTATTTACATTCGATAATCATGAAAACAAATCTCAGATAACGGTTGACTAGGTAACAATGTGTAATTAGACCAAAGGTTCATTTTGCGCCGGAGTTCTCCTTTAAGCTGGACTGTGACGCTATTTACTTCTAGAAACAAACTTTGTTGCATTATTTTCCTATTATCTCTTTAAAGCTATTTTGAAACAATCTGTATTGTAAAAAGCGTTATATAAATAAAGGAGACTTGTTTGTATCACCGCTATACAAACAAACGTCAAGACATGATGTCAGTTATGGAGGTTAAAGGTGTAAAATCACAGGACAGCTTACAAGTATCACACACCAGACGCATCATCTGTACTGAAAACAAGCAAACGTTCAATGAACAGAGGCATTAATGAGATTTAGGGGTGGCATTTGAAAACAACAGCGCGCAGAGAGAGAGAGAGAGAGAGAGAGAGAGAGAGATTTTCTGCATAACAAAAGATGTTGTTCATGCTTCTTTTTCATCCCTTGTGCGTCATGATCATCGTCTTTTGCGCTCTACAGAAGATAAAGTCACGCAGGTTTGGAGTTTAATGATGGCCGAATCCATTTCTTTAAATTGAAATGCACGTGTTTTCTCTTCAGCCGGTTGTCACCAGTCAGTTGGGCACCATTAACAATCTGATCCATGTGAAGAAATCAGATTTCGAGGTGTTTGACGCACTGCAGGTGGACTCTCTGGAGTGCTCCGACACGTCAGGTACGAGCCAGAGTCAGAGTGCAGTGCTATTATAATAACATCACACAAATGCACATGTGACTATAACATCACAATCATAGACGCCTCTCAGAAAAGCTGTTTCAGTAGATAAGATCCAGCGTAGGTCATTTGTTAATGTGATGTGTGTGTGTGTGTGTGTAGATCTGTCCAGTTCTCCGCCTGGGCCGTACAGTCAGGAGGTGTACATGTTCAAACCCGAGGAACGCTTCAAAGCTCCACCTATCCTGCCTCCACACCTGCTGCAAGTCATACTCAACAAGGACACCAACATTTCTGTGAGAATACTCTCCGTCTTACTAACAGAACTATTTTATTTCAGATATTACCAAAGCGTCAGGAGAGAAAAAAATATGCCAGTAATGGTAAAAAAAATTTAACAATATAAAGTAAAAATAAACATTTAACAAGACATGAAAGATAATTGTTTTTACTTTTTGTTTTCTCTGTTTGTAATTCAGTTTAAATTCAAAGGAACTATTTAATACATGACAGAAGTGTTACAAAAGAATAAAGGTTAAACAGAGGAGAGCCATTAAAGGGGACATGACATTGATTTTTTTATTAATTTAATATTCCTTGAGGTTCACTTATAATGTTGAAAAAGGATTATTTTCCACCATTCTGAGCCTCTGTCTGAAATTATCAGTTTTTAATGTGCGGCTCCTTTAAGGCTTGTCAGTAAACGCCCAGTTATGATTGGCTAACGTCACTGCATAGGAAACAGTATCAGCGCCCACTCACTATTGAAAACATTATCCATATAAAACCTTGATTTACAGTCGAAGTATTATGAAATAATTTACTTCAGTTTGTGACGCAGCTGCTGTCAGATCGATACAGTCGCTGCTTCATCGTTCAACAAATGTTTCTCAGTCATATGCTCCGAACAAACATATAATCCTCCAACGCAATCCAGGACGCCATTGAAATAAAGACTTCTGAAGTCTGTACAGAGACTCAACCCAGCCGTTTAAACTGGACGAACGTTCTTTCACTCTTCATCGACAGACTTAAGCGCGTGGAGTCCGTCAGAAACTGAACACACATCTGTATAGTGTATCAGTGTAGACAGCGTGAGTCATTATAATCTGAACACACACTGTATACTGTATCAGTGTAGACAGCGTGAGTCATTATAATCTGAACACACATCTGTATACTGTATCAGTGTAGACAGCATCAGTCATTATAATCTGAACACACATCTGTATACTGTATCAGTGTAGACAGCGTGAGTCATTATAATCTGAACACACATCTGTATACTGCATCAGTGTAGACAGCGTGAGTCATTATAATCTGAACACACATCTGTATACTGTATCAGTGTAGACAGCGTCAGTCATTATAATCTGAACACACATCTGTATACTGTATCAGTGTAGACAGCGTGAGTCATTATAATCTGAACACACACTGTATACTGCATCAGTGTAGACAGCGTGAGTCATTATAATCTGAACACACATCTGTATACTGCATCAGTGTAGACAGCGTCAGTCATTATAATCTGAACACACATCTGTATACTGTATCAGTGTAGACAGCGTCAGTCATTATAATCTGAACACACATCTGTATACTGTATCAGTGTAGACAGCGTCAGTCATTATAATCTGAACACACATCTGTATACTGTATCAGTGTAGACAGCGTCAGTCATTATAATCTGAACACACATCTGTATACTGTATCAGTGTAGACAGCGTCAGTCATTATAATCTGAACACACATCTGTATACTGTATCAGTGTAGACAGCGTGAGTCATTATAATCTGAACACACATCTGTATACTGTATCAGTGTAGACAGCGTCAGTCATTATAATCTGAACACACATCTGTATACTGTATCAGTGTAGACAGCGTCAGTCATTATAATCTGAACACACATCTGTATACTGTATCAGTGTAGACAGTGTGAGTCATTATAACCTGAACACACATCTGTATACTGTATCAGTGTATACAGCGTCAGTCATTATAATCTGAACACACATCTGTATACTGTATCAGTGTAGACAGCGTCAGTCATTATAATCTGAACACACATCTGTATACTGTATCAGTGTATACAGCGTCAGTCATTATAATCTGAACACACATCTGTATACTGCATCAGTGTAGACAGCGTGAGTCATTATAATCTGAACACACATCTGTATACTGTATCAGTGTAGACAGCGTGAGTCATTATAATCTTAACACACATCTGTATACTGTATCAGTGTAGACAGCGTGAGTCATTATAATCTGAACACACATCTGTATACTGTATCAGTGTAGACAGCGTGAGTCTTTATAATCTGAACACACATCTGTATACTGTATCAGTGTAGACAGCGTGAGTCATTATAATCTGAACACACATCTGTATACTGTATCAGTGTAGACAGCGTCAGTCATTATAATCTGAACACACATCTGTATACTGTATCAGTGTAGACAGCGTGAGTCATTATAATCTGAACACACATCTGTATACTGTATCAGTGTAGACAGCGTGAGTCATTATAATCTGAACACACACTGTATACTGCATCAGTGTAGACAGCGTCAGTCATTATAATCTGAACACACATCTGTATACTGTATCAGTGTAGACAGCGTCAGTCATTATAATCTGAACACACATCTGTATACTGTATCAGTGTAGACAGCGTGAGTCATTATAATCTGAACACACACTGTATACTGCATCAGTGTAGACAGCGTCAGTCATTATAATCTGAACACACATCTGTATACTGTATCAGTGTAGACAGCGTCAGTCATTATAATCTGAACACACATCTGTATACTGTATCAGTGTAGACAGCGTGAGTCATTATAATCTGAACACACATCTGTATACTGTATCAGTGTAGACAGCGTCAGTCATTATAATCTGAACACACATCTGTATACTGTATCAGTGTAGACAGCGTCAGTCATTATAATCTGAACACACATCTGTATACTGTATCAGTGTAGACAGTGTGAGTCATTATAACCTGAACACACATCTGTATACTGTATCAGTGTATACAGCGTCAGTCATTATAATCTGAACACACATCTGTATACTGCATCAGTGTAGACAGCGTGAGTCATTATAATCTGAACACACATCTGTATACTGTATCAGTGTAGACAGCGTGAGTCATTATAATCTTAACACACATCTGTATACTGTATCAGTGTAGACAGCGTGAGTCATTATAATCTGAACACACATCTGTATACTGCATCAGTGTAGACAGCGTCAGTCATTATAATCTGAACACACATCTGTATACTGCATCAGTGTAGACAGCGTCAGTCATTATAATCTGAGCACACATCTGTATACTGTATCAGTGTAGACAGCGTCAGTCATTATAATCTGAACACACATCTGTATACTGTATCAGTGTAGACAGCGTCAGTCATTATAATCTGAACACACATCTGCATACTGTATCAGTGTAGACAGCGTCAGTCATTATAATCTGAACACACATCTGTATACTGTATCAGTGTAGACAGCGTCAGTCATTATAATCTGAGCACACATCTGTATACTGTATCAGTGTAGACAGCGTCAGTCATTATAATCTGAACACACATCTGCATACTGCATCAGTGTAGACAGTGTGAGTCATTATAACCTGAACACACATCTGTATACTGTATCAGTGTAGACAGTGTGAGTCATTATAACCTGAACACACATCTGTATACTGTATCAGTGTATACAGCGTCAGTCATTATAATCTGAACACACATCTGTATACTGTATCAGTGTAGACAGTGTGAGTCATTATAACCTGAACACACATCTGTATACTGTATCAGTGTATACAGCGTCAGTCATTATAATCTGAACACACATCTGCATACTGCATCAGTGTAGACAGTGTGAGTCATTATAACCTGAACACACATCTGTATACTGTATCAGTGTAGACAGTGTGAGTCATTATAACCTGAACACACATCTGTATACTGTATCAGTGTAGACAGCGTCAGTCATTATAATCTGAACACACATCTGTATACTGTATCAGTGTAGACAGTGTGAGTCATTATAACCTGAACACACATCTGTATACTGTATCAGTGTATACAGCGTCAGTCATTATAATCTGAACACACATCTGTATACTGTATCAGTGTAGACAGCGTCAGTCATTATAATCTGAACACACATCTGTATACTGTATCAGTGTATACAGCGTCAGTCATTATAATCTGAACACACATCTGTATACTGCATCAGTGTAGACAGCGTGAGTCATTATAATCTGAACACACATCTGTATACTGTATCAGTGTAGACAGCGTGAGTCATTATAATCTTAACACACATCTGTATACTGTATCAGTGTAGACAGCGTGAGTCATTATAATCTGAACACACATCTGTATACTGTATCAGTGTAGACAGCGTGAGTCTTTATAATCTGAACACACATCTGTATACTGTATCAGTGTAGACAGCGTGAGTCATTATAATCTGAACACACATCTGTATACTGTATCAGTGTAGACAGCGTCAGTCATTATAATCTGAACACACATCTGTATACTGTATCAGTGTAGACAGCGTGAGTCATTATAATCTGAACACACACTGTATACTGCATCAGTGTAGACAGCGTCAGTCATTATAATCTGAACACACATCTGTATACTGCATCAGTGTAGACAGCGTCAGTCATTATAATCTGAACACACATCTGTATACTGTATCAGTGTAGACAGCGTGAGTCATTATAATCTGAACACACATCTGTATACTGTATCAGTGTAGACAGCGTCAGTCATTATAATCTGAACACACATCTGTATACTGTATCAGTGTAGACAGCGTCAGTCATTATAATCTGAACACACATCTGTATACTGTATCAGTGTAGACAGTGTGAGTCATTATAACCTGAACACACATCTGTATACTGTATCAGTGTATACAGCGTCAGTCATTATAATCTGAACACACATCTGTATACTGCATCAGTGTAGACAGCGTGAGTCATTATAATCTGAACACACATCTGTATACTGTATCAGTGTAGACAGCGAGAGTCATTATAATCTTAACACACATCTGTATACTGTATCAGTGTAGACAGCGTGAGTCATTATAATCTGAACACACATCTGCATACTGCATCAGTGTAGACAGTGTGAGTCATTATAATATGAACACACATCTGTATACTGTATCAGTGTAGACAGCGTGAGTCATTATAATCTGAACACACATCTGTATACTGCATCAGTGTAGACAGCGTCAGTCATTATAATCTGAA